AGCAGTAGCAGTAGTAGTAGTAGTTCGATCTCCTGAGTTTGGCATTAGGGACGTTTGCTTTAAGCTGCATCTCAGGTACACCTCTGTGAAGCTTTCCCCGCTCCAGCTGTTGGAATTTGCAATGCCGTGGATGGGCCTGATTACTGTTGTCAGCGCGATCTTGCTGGAGGCGGGGCGTCACCGCAGTGCTGCAGCATAGTTCAGCACGCGAGACAGTCCCCTCGCTTGTGTAGATTCGGTGCCACCCTCGAGGACATGGCAGGTGTCCTGACATATCAGCCGAACAGCGTCCGCAGCTTTGCGATATTGCTCTCCTCAGTTTGCGGCATGCTGGCAAATGTCTCCTCGACCTGGGCCCCTTGGAATCAACATGTTTGTCTATGTGTGCTGCCTGGCTTTGTCACTTACAGACTCACGTGTTCGCTGTGCTTATTGACGCTGACCCCTCGAGTAGCAGAGTAGCAGTGACGATGGCTTTGAGTGCAGGAGCAGCTTAGGTTCTGGGCTTGACCTCTCCCATCGCTCACATCCTGCCTCATGCCATTTTCAAAATCTAAACGAGTCGTTTTTTTCCGGCTCAGTTGATGATTTCGTTGTCGCTCCTGAGGCTGGGTCAGCTCAAGACGGTCTCCGCACCTCAACCGGCACTTTAATCGTCCTTCGATAACCAGAATGGCTCTATAGAGTATCGCACACTCCAGGTTGTGGTTTAGGGCAGACGAATCATCATCGTTGGGCCATGACATCCACAGGTTCTTCTCGGCGGATTTCTCTTTTTTGATGCTCGGCCCGGCCTGAGAACTCTGCTGGGTGCCTTCTGTACACTTGTGGCCATCACCATGCCTGCGGCTCAGATCTTTTTGAGCTTCACACCGGCTCCCTCCGGCTCCCTGGAGCTCTCAGAGCACAAAGGTACGCCTTGAGCAAGACCTTCAAGAGCGACAAGGTCCGGGCCCGGGGCTCCACGTCGGATCCTTGTAGGTGGCTTCCCGCTCCCCTGCAGGAAGCCACGAGCTCTGCGAGCACCCGCGTAGACTGCGACGACGAGGAAGCGGCCCTTAAGGCCTGAGAGGTGTCACAACTGCGACAATCTGCGACACAGAGTGCAGTATTCCTCGGCGCCGAGATGTGCTTTCAAAGAACTTCGGAGCAGCCCGGGAGGTCGGTGAAGGAAAGCTTCCAAGCTCAGTCCGGACGTCAGAAGTTTGAGATTCCATGGACTCGGCAAAGTACGAGACATGGTCAGTTTTAAGTCCACCCATTCCAGCCTAGATCGCCTGAAAGCTGGGCTTGCCTTCGGGCTGTGGTGTTTGACCAGCCTTTGAGGCTGTTGTTGTGGAACGGAGAGATGCTTAGCTTCCCAAAGTGGCGAGCCGTCAGCTAGAATGCGATATCCAAGCAAAAGAACCAACCTCTTCACTACTGCAGAGATGCATACTGAGTTCGTGGTCGAAGTAGTGGTTTATGTTTTGATCCTGCATGGCCCTCGTGGAACATTAACATCAGGTTTTCAGGAGCTAACACGGGTGCACCATATAGCGAGCGCGACGTTCCATGTCGTTGACAGAGTCTGCACCGGAATGATGAGGCAGCATCCCGGCAGGATGCTAGTTTCGATGACTCGGTCTGCCGTTAGGCCTGCAGCCCTCGGCCCCAAAGCCAAAGGCCAAAGCTGTCCCAAAAAACACCAAGCCGGACGCCACCAAACTCAGACCTCCACACACAATGTCGAAGGTTGGGTTGTGAGCAGATGATGTTTTGCCGGTAAGGGCAAGACGGGTATGCCGTGACAGGCTGCGCTTGCCGTGGCAGAGGGTGCCGTACTGTACATACAGCTCCCGTTCATGAAGACGACCTTCTTTGCGCGCCAAGCTGCAGCAAGCATTTGCTCTTCGCTGCACAATGCTCGCGCTGAGGCACAGAAACGGCTGGCAGTCGCCCAGGCGGCTGCTGGCACGACAAACATCACTTCGGAGCCCTGACCCCGGCCCACTCTGCCGGTGGTGGGGCCGTAGATAATGCTGTCGTAGTCGTACAGATCAGAGCAGTGGCTGCAAAAAAGCTGTTCGGACCCACCCGAGGTTGGACATCAACTGCGCACGGACGCCAAAGCAGCTCCTGTGCAAGGCCGGGAGCTTGCAGCTCGCCCCCTGGGGCTTGCTATTAGGTGGCGTATTATGCGATGTTGCTTGCAGTGATTGCGTCAAGACTATGTTTGTGAATGGTTAGATTGTGTCACACCCTCCTTCATGTTGGGTTCGGTCCACCCATGCCTGATCGCTGATTTGACAGCGAGTAGCCAGGTTGGTGCTGCAGATGCCGCCTATTGGGAACCTTAGCGGATCTGGCACTCAGAGCTCAAACTACATGAGCTTGCCTTGCGGTCGAGCAAGGATGCGGTGTTGGAAGGTCTGGCCAGTGCAATCGCCTCAGAGAGCGCACGCTTTGCTCTCATCCCGTGGCACAGTTCGGGCCCAGGTTCTTGCTGTCCCCTCAGCCCTCACTCTGGGGATTCTTAGCGCCCTGGCAATCAAGAGCGCCTCAGCACTTACTCAACGTAGCCCTAGACGACAATGCCGGCCACAACAGATCCTAAAAGGGCAGGTTCACGCGATTGCTCTGCAGTCATGCAAGTTCTCCTCCAGGTGATTTGCATGGGAGACGGCCGTTCCTTCAGTTGAAGGCCTCAGCAGTCGGCACTGCCCGCATTGTCCTTCGCTTGCACTTGTTTCTGTTTGCCACCGCTTGCTCAGCCATGTCGTATAAATACATACCTGCAAGGCGGCTCTCAACTTAGCCCGTGTCCAAGCTTGAGCACTTGTTGCACGAAATTCTCAAATGGTCTGCTGTCTTATCGTTGTGCACAATGGTCTACAGTTCAACCAGTGCTGGAGGTGAGTGCGCTGCTGCTGCTTTCCTCGACGCACGCAGGCCTAGGGTGAGTTCTGACGCAACTGGAGCTGTGTAAAACTTGGCGAATGTTTCAGGTGCAAGCTTGTGGCCATTTCTCTGGGCAAGCTCGCTGGATCAGAGTATTGATGCTGTTGGTGTCATGCTGGCAGTGCTTGCAGATCTCACGCAGGAGCTATCATGTTCATGTAAGTGTTTCACTCGTGCACATGACATGGCCTGAAGTGAACGCCGTGACTAGGAGTACAAGCCCGAGCGCTCGGCAACGCTTGGCCTGCTAGGCGCCTTCGTCACAGGAGTCCGGGGTTTTGGATGGATTTAGCACGGGTCGGCAGTGCTGCGCGATCATAGCCCGTTGCTCGACAACAGGAGTCGCATGCTTTTGCATGGCTGCGGCTGCAAGCATGCCGAGCAGTGTAGCAGCCCAGGCAGCAGCTCGAATGAATCAGAAGTGTCTGCCGCAGCCATGCGTATCTGTAGGACTCCAGGCCAGCCTTTCACAGCCTCTCACAGCCCCTAGGGATCCCTAGGGCCCTAGGGTAGGCTAGGATTTCTCGCTCTCATGTCATGTTCGTTTCTGGTCCTCCCACATCCAAGGATACCTAGTTTACTTGTTTGCAATGTGCACCCAGAGATTTGCCTGGCATACCATGAAAGTCCGAGGTTCTGCTAACCGCGACGTTGAAGCTTGGCACCTGTCCTGGCTTTCAAATCTTCAACTCAATCTCCCCAAAGCCCAGGGTGAGCAGCGCTTTGCTGAGGCTTCTTGCTCTTCCTCCTGCCTGAGACCTCTGAGACTGCTGAGGTCGAGAGCCCCCAAGGCAGGGTCGCAGGGGCCGAGAAGTTTCTCAGGTTCTCCTTAGGGTTTCTCCGTCAGGGAGGGCGGCGGTGTCGGGCCGCATCCCAGAGATGCTCCAGGCCAAGATCTGCGAAGAGCAAAGCCTCGTGCGTCGGTGGGATCTCCGCACTGCGCCAGGAGGGCGTGAACATCTTACGCCGCCACCACGTCCTGCAGCGCTTGGCACTTGTGCAGTGCTGAGGCTGCTAGTTTGGCGCGTTTTCTTTGCGATGTGGGAGAGCAAAGCGTCCAACATGTACCCTCTTCATCACCAACTTCCCTGGCAAGGTGCTTTGTCTTGCAGGTGCCGGGTTCACAGCCCGAAACCTCTTCCTCAGGTTCGAGGCTGAGCTCTGTTGTACCACAACTCGTGTCAGCTTGTCGCTACCGCCAAGTTCAGGTTTTACCTTGCCAGCAAGCTGGGAGCAGACAAGGCGAGCACGGTTCCTCTCAAGCCGGGTAAGCATTTGCATTCTAGGAGAGATGTATGCAAAGCTGGGTTTATGTATTGCTCCTCTGGAGACGATTCAATCTCGCATGGTGGCTCAGATCTTACGATCGATGTGACGAGCTGCAGGCCGACTTTGCGGTTCTGCTTCCAGCTTCCCTCCCGGGCAAGATCGTCACCTTCGCGCTGATTTTGCCAGCGCTGGGAGCCTGGCTGCATGTGATGGGAACCTTTGCAGCCCCCTGTGCAGATATTGCTAAGGCTAGTACATACTTGCGGAGAACTCGCCGCCCTGAAGGCTGCGCACAATGCAGACAGCATTGTCCTGCGAGGCAGTATGATTATGGATGTGAGGTGGCCCTTCCCATCTCGGGGGTTCTCACTCTGTGCATCCTCGCCTCCGACGCCTTCTGGCAGGCACCGTGCCCGATGAGAGCCCAACGAAATTTCAGACAAAGCTGGCTGAGGTCATAGTCTGCTATGCAGTCCTGGGTGGACCTGCGCTGATGCCTAGAGCCTAGATCCTACAGGATGGCATCGCAGGAGCCTTACATCCCCCGTGCTTGGCATCAACTCAGGTTCGCACCCCTCATGTCAGCCATGAAAGCGAACCTCGTCGGTGATGAGGAGCAGGGAAAGGTCGCCAGTCCTTGCAACAAGCCCAACATCGTCCGACAAACAATGCACATGAGCAGGTGCAAGGCGTGGTAGCAGCATTGAGGGCCCTGGCAAATGCCGCTGTCGGCTTTCTGCTGGGGAACGGCTTCCATGCCGCTGGCTGGCAATTGCAAGAGCCGGGCTGATTGAGACTTCACAAGAAAGCCCTGAGCCCACTAAGGCAGGCAGCCAGCCGATGCGAGGTGTCCAGGCCTGGTACTATCCACAAAATGGCACGACATGTTCCGATCGTCATCATACTTGAACTCGAATAATAATGAACGGTCATGTTAGTGGCAGTATCGGGTGGAGAACAAACTAATTATAAAGATGCCAACACTCCAGGGCCTCACCCTCAAGAACCGTTCCAAGCATCCCTGAGTCTCCCACGAGCCCCCCACGAGTCCAAACTGGCGGGACCACGATTGGCATCCCAGAACAACGCAAACACGAGTCGCACTTCGAAATGTGCACGGAACTCGTGGCGGGAGCGCGATTTCAAATGGGTGGATGGAGCTGCGGTGGAAAGAGGAATCGTATCCCCAAACACTTCGTCACTGTGGCGGTGGCAAGATTGAGAGTTGTGGAAAAGTCCAAACACCCCTCTTGACGGCTACATTTTGAGACCACGCAAGGGAGCTCGAAGATGGCCACACGGGACTCTGACGGGAGTACGATCGATCAGCTTTGAAAGCGCCAGGCCATTGGACTTTGAGCCGCCCACACGCATCGCGAGAAATATACTGTAGGAAAACATCCCTCTTGCTCTGCAATTTCAACCGCACAGCATCACCACACCGTCTGGAGTGTTAAATTCTGGCAGTGCCTAGAAGATCGTGCACTTGCGATATGTTACAATGCAAGCAAAAAGCCTTACAGAGCATTCGAGGAATTCGTCGAGCAGGTCACAAAAGTGAACGAATGGACATGCGCATGTAACCTTTATACACACATACATACATCCATTGAGACAGAGAGACACCGTCAGACCGACCGGCAAGCAGGCTGACAGACCGACCGACAGGCGATATGCATGTTAACATAGACAGGCATGCGTAATTAGTTTCCTTTGCTTTATTGTACTTTCATTGCGTTTGCTCTACTCTACTTTACTTTACTTACTTGTTTACTTGCTTGCTTACTTACTGCTCACTTTCTTGCAAGCATGTATACATGCTGATGCACATGCCTTCGCATGCAAAACGAGACATACCGCACATAACGCATACATACGTACATACATATACATAGATACATATGTACCTGTATACATATATACATATATACATATACACATAGATACATTTACATATATGTATATATATATACACACATATTTGGCCATATACATATATACACATATACACACATACACATAGATATACATAGATAGACATATACATATACATACACATACACATGCACATTCACATACACATACACATACACATGCATACATACTAATACATACATGCATGCATACATACATACATACATACATAGACATGTACATATATATATATATGCACGTATGTATGTATGGGATGCATGTACGTATGTATGTATGTATGTATGTATGTGTGAATGTATGTATTCGTGCATACACGTCCAGATACATACACACACACACATGTATTTATATATATATATATGTACATGTGCAGTTATATACACATGTGTGTGTATACATAAGCAAATATCTACATACATACACGTCTTCGTGTTTGCAGATTGACAGATGGATAGGTAAGTAGATAGATCCTCCTGTCTGCAAGGCTGGCCTTTTCTTGGTCGTGTTGCTGGAATTTGTAGCCTCCCTCGTGGCGCTGACTTTGCCCAACAGCCTGGAAGCTTATGGGCTGCTACTGCGTCTTGTGGTCTCTCCTTGAAAACTCGTCGTCCCATGAGGTTACATCATTGGTGAATTTGCAATCGCATCATCGGTGGTTGTCAGGTCCTCGGACCTGCATCTCGCTTTCTTACCGGTGTGTTTTGCCAAAGCTTCCCCGAACCTTGGATCCCTGACTGAAGAATAGGCAGAGGTCATCACGCCGTGTGAACACTTGTGCAAGGCAGGGGAAGAGATCAGCGACACGGAGCTTGTGTGCACAGTGCACTCACAAGATGACCCTGCAGATGCAGGCTCCGCACAAAGTCAATTTCATTTCGGGAACCTACAAGACTCCAGCAGATGACGTGCCCTCGCAGGCTGTCCCGACAACAGCAGCAGCGATGAGGAAGTTTGCAAGGAAAGACAACCTCTCCTCGCCAACAAGGAGCCCATTTGCATAAACTTGGCTTGTCTTCAACTTACACTGGCAGTCTGCAGCTGTGCGTGCAAACGAATGCAGTCTAGCAGGAAGCTGCTGATGATCTACCACACGAGATGCCTCTCCATGTGCAAAGCTTGCCGATCATACTGAGAGAAACGGAGAGCCATGCGGCTGGTGCTGTGCCGATTGGACATGCCTGCCTAGAGAGGCTGCACTGCAGCCCTGTGATGGCCAGGCGGCAGCTCCGCGTTCACCACGCCATGTTGCCAACGCCCCACAGGCTTCGGGAGAATGTTTCGGGACTGCATGTGCTAACGCATTCACTGGACAGGTTGGACCCACGGCTCCAAGGGCAGGTGGCAGCCTGGACTTTCCGAAAATTTCCCATGGAAGGAAATGCAGGCGCAGATGCCAGGTCCGGCTGCTGCGTTAGGTCCTTTTGACGTGAGGCCTTGGTCCGCCGGACGGGATTGACCGAGAAAAACTCCTCGCCCGCCCCAGGGATTCGACTCCCGCTGGTCGGCCGCTGAATGTGGCCATCTCAGCGCCTTTGCGGTATCTTTGCCACAGGAGCCGTCTCTGATGTCCCAAATAACTAGAGAAATAGAGAAGTGAGCAGCTTGAATGGTCGGTCTTCTTGTGTGTTCTCCACTTTACGGTAAGCGGGCGGAATCTGCGGTAGAACATCGACCTCTCCGGCCTCAGGGCCATGCCGTTCCAGCTCATCCAGCTCAGGCAAGGGCCCAACTCGATTTCGTGCAGCTCTCTGCAGACAGACACAGCAGAACACAAAGATCTGTCTGTGTGTGCGTGTGTGTGGGCTTCAAGGCGGCACCCACCGTTGCCAGAGGAGGTGCTGTGGTGCCGAAGGTCCCTTATTTATGTGCGCACTTTGCATGACTATGCAAGAAGACACGACAAGTCCCACAAATACTGCAGGGCAGCATGGTGGTGCACCTTCCTGCTGGTCCGGAAACCTGGGAACTTGACACGACATGTCAGCACTTTAAAGCTTACGTGCATCCTGTGATACCCTTCCGAGGGCTCCCTGTCCGTCCCCTTCAGTTTCTGGGGACTCCCGGGCACGTTTGGCATGCTTGTGTGCACTGTCATCTTCTGCACAGTTGCTGCTTGCAGTTTGCGATGAAGTAGGCATTTGGCAGGCCTCACGATGGAAAGGGACAGAAGATGGGTATGCCGTTGGCGCCGGTGCTGGAGCAGGCATGATCTCACGGTGCTTCGGTGCCCCTTTCCAGCATCCAAACTTGCCATGACAGTAAGCAATATACGCCGCTTTTATAGATCTTTCGGAACGTGGTTTTCGAGCTTGAAGAGATGCAGGCGCAGCCGAGCCCACGGACGGCTCTCGGCCCTGTCAAACACTGAGCTGCGGAATGCACCTCTTTGAGATCCACGAAACTGCGACTTCTCAAATTTCAGCTGCGGGGCATGCCAGACTGCAGAACAGCAAAGTCGGAAAACTCTGAAAACCGCAAAGAATGTCGAGTCTAGTTAATGTCATCAACTAGCATTGAAGCTTGTTTCACCGAGCGAAATGCCTCGAACCGATAGCATGTAATTAGCTCGCTCAGATCTTGTGGGCGGAAGCGTCATGCAGAGCGTAAGCTTAAAAGAGAAAGAACTACCGAGTAGCAGAATTTAAGAAGATCAGGCTTCTTCGGATTTAGATCATGACAGGAAGTAGGTTGCGAAGGCGCAATAGCTGAAAATAAACACGGTTGCTGGAATTAAATACAGTAAACATACCGCCAGCGCGTAGCACGTAGCTATAGGGGAGCAGTCATATGACGAGGAGGTTGGGCGACCCTTGACGGGGCAAGATAAACTTTCGGAAATTTTATTACCGCAAACATAACCGATTAATTTCGAAATAGTATTATTACTCTGATTTTTTTTTAGGAAATATGTCTTTTTGAAGCTACTAAATTCTGAAATTTTAATACTGGAAGATTTCTTAAAATAAAGAACTCGCGGTTCTAAAATTTTTATACCGTAATATTGGAAATTATAGGAATTTAAAATATATCTTTTTTAAACATACGTATTTAAGAAGATACTATTGAATTATAGAAATATATTTGTGCGAGTATATATTAATATAATATATTTTGATTTTAAGTAGGTTTTGATATTTATTGAAGATATTGTTTCCCGATTATTTATTATTAGTAATAGTGGTTTAATTATTTTTTTATATTTTATTTTATAGATTGGATTTGTATATATAGATATGTTATTTTAATTTGTAGTTATATAGACTTTTAAGTTCGTTATTTTATTAAAATGCGATATTTTTTATATAT